TTGTTACACGGGTCTTTCTAGCCTGTCTTTATTGTTCAGTTGTCCTTTTCCTAGATGCCTCGCAAGTCGTTGCGCCTCTTCGGATAGACACTGACCATGTAGTCGAGTCTTGTGCAGGAGCCTCCTACGTGTGAAGGTTTATATTGATGGCTTTAAGTGATGCTTTTAGCGTTTCATTGAAGCGTTTTTTTTTGGCCACCATGAGAGCGTCTACCTTCTTGTATCTCACTATAAAATATTGTGTGTGTGTGGGGGGGGGGGGGCGGTGGTGGGCGGAGGCGATGCTCTAGCAAGAAGACGACGTGACTTGCCCATTGAATACGAGGCTGCAGTAGCGTGGCATCGGCGCTGGGAGCGCCAGCTCTATCCAATAAGATAGTGATAGTATCTGGGACCCTGTCTCATCACTTGATGTTCAATAGCTTTCTTAGACTATATGGAAGTGGCTGGGCTTCTTTGCATGACCCCTGACTACAGTCTATGTTGAACAAGCATACAGCAGCACTGGAAGCATTGCAATATAGCCAGATATCATGATCATGAAGTTCAGAAAAGTTTATCAATACTTCACATATTTGGAAATCAAAGCTACAATTGCACTTGGAATTTATAGCGATATAACTGTCTTTCTTTACATAAGTGAAACATTACATTCTGTTATGGTTGATCGACTATTTTTATAGTCGTGCGTCCTTCTTAGGACGTAATTTTTTGTTATTTGAAGCCCCACTCTGGCTTTTGCCAGGGGCCGCAATATAGGCAGGCCATAAAAATGGCCAAATGTCTGAACGCGGTTTCTGGGACCTCTCCACGGTGATCCTCATCCACATGGTGGCACGTTGTGTCATCGGGTGTTTATCGCTTGTGTGATGTCCTAGTGGGGTAGAAAGTCACTCACTCACTAAGTGAAACATCTTTTCACAGTGTTATAGAATGTGCTAGTGATAATTCCACTGGTATTATGGGAAGTACAGGATATGATGTGTGTGTTTGTGTAAACCACGCACAACTCTTTTTAAAACTGATAATTGATTATATATTATTAATAGCTAAAGTCTGACGTGATATATACATATATGTACGTATATGTGGGTGTGAGTTTGAAGACTGTAACGGCTTTGTCATAATAATAATTAAAAAAAAATTTTGGAACCTTTTGCTATGTTTGGCACTTTTTCAAAACTATACCCCAAAAAAAATGGAATGTACTGTTGCCCAAAAATTTCGGGAGCCCTGATGATATTTCTCTTTTATCCCATGGAATGCCGATTTCTCTCGCTACTCGCTAGCGATCTACAAAATTTAAGACTAGTAACTTCCCCTGAACAGACAACCTGTCCATCTTTTTAGACAACAAAAAGTGTAGAAGATCAGAATCGGCGAAAGTAAGTTTTGCTGTTTCGCCAGTGTTCCGGCACAATTTGTTTCACAGAAATATGTTGCGGATTTTAGAATATAGCCAGTCAGTAGTGTAGTTGTAGCAGCGTTATGTTGTCAAGAGGGAAAAACAAACAAAACAACAACAAAACGCATACGAGTTCACCACGCGGTATGGTCCAGTTGAGTCTAGTTAAGTCTGAACAGTTGACTAGTTGATACTCAAGTTACTGGTTAGTTGACTAGTTATTTCTGATGTTGGGCACGTATCTACTATAGTTATAGCAAAAATCGTGCATTTTACTGCCTACCTACGTTTGACTACCGGTTTTTTGTTCTTAGAGTTTAAACGGGGTTTCTAAAGATTTTTTATTTTGTACCAAACTATAATAATCACTTTTAATTCATCCATGAAATATTTGCAACCCACATAATAATGCAATCCTAGAAGGAAAAACAAAGAAAAAAGTATAATAATATAGTACTGATAGTGATAGACTAACTAATGATAGTCAAATGATACTAATAATAATAGTAATGTGGTGTCTCTTAAAGTTAAAACTATCCCACTCCAAGATGTGAAGTTGTACAGTAATAATGTGGATAAAGATGGGGGAACTGACAGAGATGCATACAAAAGGCAAGAGGAGCTTTCATAGATTCATAGGAGGTCACAAGTAATTAAAACTAATACTAGTAAACTAAAAATCTTTAACTCTGTCATTCAAGTCTGTACTTTTGTATGGAAAGGAAACACGAAGAACAACTAAGGCAATTAACAATAAACTTCAAACATTCATTGACTAGTGTTGCACACTTGCACAGAATACAGGGAATTATATGGTACAATAGAATCACAAATGTAGAACTGAACAAGTTCCAGTGAACCCAGAGGTGAAGAAAAGATGCAGGCGTTGGATAAGACACACATTGATTGAAAAAACCTGAGAGAAATATAACTAGAATTTTGTTTGCTTTGACAGCAATACTCAGTCATTCTGCTTGCCAACTCAAGACAGCATGGTCTAGTCACTAGAGTAAATGGAATAGCCCTCAGCCTTTTATGCCCTAATTATAATTTCACTATGAAGTTGAATAGAACAAGGGGTAAGATCAGAAAGGATGAAATCCCAAGGAAAGTGGTGGAGGAGACAACAGGTTAAATATAACATGGATGTCAGCAGACATTGATGTACAGGCGAGGTGGGAAGTGAAGACGAGGTTGACCATACAAGCAGTGGACAGTCACAGAATCTATGTGAATCCCGATTTATGAAGCACACAATCTGGCTCTTTCCTATAAATTATACTTCACCTCGACTCCCAAAGGAACAAGAGAATCAAGATGAGATGAGATGCTTGAATGGATGGGGTGCCTGGGATTTGTCCTGTCAGAGTGACATGTTATTCTTTGATTCATCAGGTGCCTTGCCAGCTGGCATGGGCAGTCATGTCCCCTCACAATCTGCGATCAGCAGCTGTGTGTATGTTCCTGTGTTGACACCCCTAAATGCTGTCTTTCTCTGTCTCTCTTTGCACAGATCTTTCCAGTTGTCAGAGTATGTTCCATTTTCTCATAACATGGCCAGACGGTTTTGGCTGTCTCTTTCTGATGTTTGTAATAATTTGTCCTTGAGCCTTCACCCGTTTTAGAACATCTTGGTTGCTCTGTTTGGCTGTCCAAGGTATTCTAGGTGTTCTTCTGTAAAACTACATCTCTGAGGCCTTAGAAATGGTTTTATTGTTTATTAATTGACTGTCCGGGATTCGCCCTATATAGCATGCAAGAATTCTTTCCTAACCTCCAATTACATGGATTTATTGCACAAAATGTTCTTTATTTTATAAAATGCAGTTCTGGCCTGTCCTGTTTTGTTTTTCATCTTTGTGATTTATCTTCCATCATATGTTGTTATACATGTGCCTGAATCCTATAACTTCTGTAGTTGTCCTAAAATAACACCTTTGACATTTTTGTACACAGTTATTATAACAGATCTTTTCTTTGATATTACCATTACCTCTGTGTTCCCATTATTCAAGCTGAGGCCCATTTGATCACTTTTTACCACCATTGTATCTATCAGTTCCTGTAATTCTTTCTGACTTGTCTCCTTCAGTATGGTGTCCTCAGCATAACATAGGCTGTTAATGTTATGACCACCAACCACAATTCCTGGGTTATCCTTGATAGGTAGATTGCAGCCTGCAGAGTTAAGCAAGACTTATCTTTCAAATTATGAACATGAGGTTTACCTGAGACAGAGGCTTTAACAACATAAACAATGAAAGACATTGTTTATAAATGTGAACACTTCAGATCACTGAACCTATTAGTTATGCTTATCAGTTTCTTATGATCGCATCCCTAATGGTTAAACTGATAGAGTACTTGTGATCACATCCCTAACAGTTTAACTGATAGAGTACTTGTGACTTGTGATCACATCCCTAATGGTTAAACTGAGTACTACTGATCACATCCCTAATGGTTAAACTGACAGAATACTTGTGACCAAACTGGCAGTTTTCTGGAGTTCCTCTTTACTTTAGTTCCACACAACTTTGAGATTCCGGAGTCCCGCGGTTGGGGGGGGGGGGGGGGGGGAGGAGAATAGACTCACTACTCTCTAATATAAGCATGTTGTTAAAGTTGACTTTAAAAGTTGTGGTCAACAGAAATTACTACTAAACTTAAAATGTTTATGTCTAATGACAAATCAGTACTGTTGTATGGAGCGGAAACCTGGAGAACAACTAAAACAGTTATTAGTAAATGTTAACATTCATTAACTGGTGCCTGTGCAGAATAGAGGGAATTAAATGGCATGATAGAATCACTAATACTTCATCAAGCTTTGGGAGATAACAAGTTCCAGTAGACCAAGAGGTGAAGAAAAGATGCTAGCGTTTGATAGGAAACAGGGCTGAGCAAATATGAGAACAGTATAACTAGAATTTGTTGCATCGGAACCCACAGGGGCATTGAAATAAAGGCAGACCAAAAAAAAAAATGAAGAAGGGAGCTAGAGAGTGAAGTTAAAAAAATGGGGAAAGCTGCATGCAATAGCATAGGATAGAACAACTTGGCTTGAGTTGGTTGAGGGCCTATGCTCCATTAGGGGATGAAAGGCAGAAGAAGGAAAAGAGTCGACTAAATAGGGATGTTTCCTTCCAAGTCAGAGTGCATCTGCTTGAGAGGCGAGGAACCAGTAGTCTGCAAACAAAGAAGACAGATCTGGAATGAGTTTTAGGTCCAGAAGCAAATGAACAACCAGAACTTTCTGCTGGAGTTTACAGCTGGGGAACCTTATAAAGATACAGCTTTGAGTATATTCTTGACTTACTGGGCCAGTGCTTCCTTATTAACAGGCTGTTTATTGGTCAGTCCCACATCACATTAGGCATGCCTGAGCACAGTGGTGAAATACTCAACAATATGATGATTGATGTTCAGGAATATGATTGTGCATAAATTGAAATGTAGTAATGCCAAAATGATAATAGTCCTGAAATAAATATTTTAAAAAATCAGATCATAAATTATTGTATTGTGGAGAATGAAGACAATGTTGGTATTGTTTAATGATGTATTTACTGATGGTTGTTTGCAATATTGCAGCATGGCAGACTACCTGATCACAGGGGGAACTGGCTACGTCCCTGACGATGGAATGGCTGGATCTCAGCTCTTTGGTTCTGGGGATGGCCTCACATACAAGTGAGCGACTAATTTTATTAATTTCATGAGATATCTGCCAGTGCATCTGCAAGTATCACAAATGTCTATTCCTCTATGCCTTAGAGGTCCTGAAAGCAGTTTAACAATCCTGGCATACAGGGTTTGGAAAGTCTTCTACAAGCGGTTTGGTTGCTGTAACCACTTTGCTTTGATTTTCAATGGTTGAAAGTAAATGAATTAGCTGAACACAATCTATGTCTAGGAAGATCAATGTTTTGGGGGGGAATGGGTGGGAGTTGGAACTCACACAGCAACAATTGAATGTTTTGGCTGAAACCTGAAAAAATACATGATAATCATTGTCTGTTGAATCAGCTGATTTAAGAGCCTAGCCAATTTTACTACATAAAGTTTTGTCACATTCCTATGCAGACAACAGCAGTCCTGAAGTTCCACGTTCTAATCATGGAAAACTTCTTAAGTAAAGCACGTCTTGCTATCATACTCACCATCACCATAGCCTGCAATTTCTATGCCTTCCCTACAGCACATTTTAACACTATTGTTTGGCAAGATTTTTTATTGGGAAATTTTTATTGTGTAATTACAATTCTTCTTCACCTTCACCGGCTTTAAACTCCTGCGGAGAGTTCTAATTAATCATCCACCTCTGGACTTTAGACTGATTCCAGTACCTTGGTGTGTTGAGTGCACATCCATTTTACAGATCTGTCTTATTTGTATGCAGACTGTTGGATACTTGCCTAACAGATATATGCCCTCCCGACTTTGAAGGAAACAACAATTAGTTGACTCTTATGACATGCTTGTTGGGAAGACAGTGGGTATATTCTTGTTTTCCCTAAGGTGGGGCCCTGGAACCCACACAGGGAGTAATTACAAGTGACCAGTCCAGGTAGTAATTACAAGTGACCAGTCCAAAGGTCCAGTTTTGAATCGGCATCAAACAGTCTGGAAATGGAAAATCAGCTCATTCTCTTTCACTCATTCATGCTCCAGACAATATATTTATACAAGTCTGTATCTAATGTTGACTTACTGATGCTTGATATCCTTGGGTTTGTTACAAACAGTTCCCCATTGATGATGTGAAAATGGCTTGAGATAAAGTTTTTTTAGGCCACCTACACCTCCTTTCCTCTTCCATGCAATTTTGGTATTCAGTTGCCAGAATTTAAAATATGTAATTACAAGTGGGCATCGATCGCAACATATCAGGCCGCTAGAAAAATGATGCTTGTCACGTACATGATCAAACAACAAGTAGCAGTCTTCAGACTCTGTACAGAATACACTACAGAACCCTTGTTTAAGGCAAAACATAGGATATACTAATAAATGTAACTGGGAATCTGAACACCCATATGGGCGTGGCCTGAGTCCTGTAAGGATAACTCAGATGATGACTTGTAACATATTTCTGTTGTTTGCCTTCCACTTTCAATGTAACATAATATCATAACAGTAACATAATTTAGCTTCATTCTGAAACAAAAACACTCAACAACTCTTTCAACAGTGATTTCCTGATTCTGCCAGGATTTATTGATTTTCCTGCCAAAGATGTGGTGAGTAGATCCTAGCGTACAGTGTACTGTCACTATGGATATGTAAAGTGTAGTCAATATTTATGTAACATTTTCACATTGTTTCTGAATTCGGTAGTAGTTAATTAAATGTAATTGAAAAGTATTGTAAACATTTATATCTTACAGTTTAAAATTATTTCTGAATTATTTAATAAATAAAATGTGTTTTGTGCTAGAAAAAAGGGAAATTTACTTTTTTTTTTTTTAGATCAGTTGTTCTTTTCAGTTTTACAACAGCCTATTTTCTTATTTAGTTGCAGTTCCAATCTCATGGCTTATGGACCTCCTTCTAATTGCTCTGTTCCGATGCACACCAAAGGTCTACCACAGTCTTTTTGACACAAACTGAAATTGCTGCAGCATATTTCCTCAAACTAAATGTACCCGAGCAGCTTTTTTCTTGATAGTGATCATGCAACATTGCAGAACCAACCCTAGCATTTTTGTTGTTGCTGTTGTGGTTTTTTTATGCAAATTTATGTCCAGTAGTTTGTCATTGCTTTCTGGGTGGTAGGCTTCTCAATACGACTGTTGAAACTAACTCAAGGTGCAAGGCCTGCAGCTGGGATTTAATCTGGTACCCCAGCATTACAAAGCGTGTTCGCACTGCCTAAGCCACAGAGAACATGCTATACAACAAGAAAAGCAGGGAATTTTTCTGAACTTTAAATAATGTCCCCAAACCTGGAGGTTGGCATGTGTCATCACTCAATAACAGTCAGTGATGAAACTGTCATCAATCAGTCAGGGGCCGTGTCCACTGTTAAGGTTGGCTGTAATAAATCTCCAACATGCTCTTGTCTCTTGATGTTGTCTAGTAACAGTGAAGTTAAAGAAAAAGCTTAGAATACTTTAGCTTAGTCATTAACAGCATTAAAGACTTCAGCAGAAGTCTTGCCACAAAGGTAAAATTATGATATGTTTTGGAATTACGACTTCAGAATAATAAATGTTTTATAGTGATGAAAAGAGAATAGATTTTTAATTGCATAAGAGGCAGACATTGATGTTGACTTAAAATAGCTTGATCTTTATGTCCAGTACCACCGTGAAAAATTTCTTTCAAATAAAAAAATTATTTCGCTTTATTTTCTGTATGGGTTCTGGGGCCTCATTGTGGGGGAAACGAGAATAGACCCACTGCCTACCCAACACACGTATCGTAAGAGTTGACTAATTTGGAGCTTCTTTCTAAGTCAGAGTACATCTGCCTGATAGTCAAGGAACCAGCACTCTACATGCAGATGAGTCGAAACAGATGTGCACTCAACACTTGTTTTATGGAACAGGAGACTAGAGTTCAGAAGTAAACTAATAACCAGAACGTTCCCCGGGAGTTTACAGCAGGTGAACACGAAGAAGAAAAGAAGGAGACTTCACAGTATAAATCTGAATAAAGTTTTAGAATTAACTATAAATAGTAACAAAACTATGATTGTTTGAGTGCTGTTAAAATGTTTTTGCTCTAGTATCGCGTTTGCAATTGTGACTGAATTAAAACAAAAAAGAAATTAAATAGAAACAGACATAATAATATAAAGAAAGACAAGCCTGCATATTCTGCAGTAATTGAAGCTTTTTCTGCATTCTCTCATAAAAGGGTGGTCGGTATGTTGTGATCTAGTTTACAGCCAAGCTGTGCCATTTGGTCAAACATACAGTTTTGGCACATCTTTGATTACTTGTCTTTTACATGCTTGTGGTAACCACAGAGGGAAATAACTAAACAAATATTCAGCTCACACATATGGCATAAATTAAGGGACCCTTGTCACAACATTGCACAACTGGTGTCTGATCTACGTATTTTTAGATTACTCTGTACTCTCAACGAGTGATGGGTCAGCTTTGTATTGGCCACTGTTTTCTTCCTGATCCACATATACAGTATAGAAGAAATGAATGTGTAAATATTGTAAGTTTTGTCTTGATCACTTCAGGATTTAACTTCAGCTCTAACTAAGAACATCAGTCTCAAGGCACCTCTAGTATCCTCTCCGATGGACACAGTAACAGAGTCACAAATGGCTATTGCCATGGCTGTGAGTATACTTCTTCTCAATGTCATGTTGTTGTCAGGTATAGTATTTTGATCACCAGATGTTCTTTTTAAATGTTCTTAGTTTGCTCCTGTTTTTTTTTTTTAACCCTAAAAAAGCACATGCTTAGAATTTTAGATTTTGCCTTTTATTTGTAAGCTGATAAGTAACATTTTATGATTATTTTTAAAAATCTGATCTCAAAAGCAGCAACTTCCATGTTAGTTTCATAACAAAAGCAGTCAGTGCCATAATACTGAAAGTCACTTCCTTCTGTCAGTATAATAACAGGAGAATGCTTGGGCCTACTGGTACCATAATAGGCACTCCACGAAATTTCAGAAATCTTCAATTTTCTTATTTAATTTTTAAGGGGCATTTAAAGACAGATTAGAGAATAAGCTTTACATTTAAAAATACTAGACAAGAGAAATGAAGAAATTCAGAGAATGACACATCAGAAAAAGCTGAGCAACAAATAATCAGGTGTCTTGAACTTAATTGATATATCTGGTCACAAAGAGGATCGTATAGTCATGATTGCCGTTGACTGCTAAAGGCCAAGCATCTGAAAAATAATGATTGGTTGAACTGATTGAGACTAGCATGATGGTTGTTTATAATTTTTCTTTATAATTAGTACAACTGAAGAAAGTCATAAAACTAAATGAACACGACACAGTGTATGACTAGGAACCTGAAAAAAAAAAAAACACACACCAGAAATGGTGTATTTGGTTTTGTACACACACACATATATAACATATGTATGTGTTTGCATAGAAACATACACACACTAGAACCTAGAGGAGTTTCAAAAAGTGAAATTTATATCCAAATTCTTCAGCTCATAAATAATAAGAATTTTGCAGTGCAAAATGGAAGCAAAACAAACAGAAACTTAATGCACACCGAAAGAAATTGACATTTGAGAAAAGGAAATAAGAAGGTAGAGGTGTTATAAAAGAAGAACAAATGTAAACAAAGGTATACAGCCCAAGAGGGAGAGAAGGAAGGAGAGAAGTACTGTGAGAAAAGAATGGAAAATGAAAACCTGCTGTATGTGTGTTAAATGAAAGAATGCTGACCATTGATTCTTGGTATATTGGAAATGTCTGAACTATGAGTGAAGAAATTTCCCAAGAGAGAACTATTGGTATAATAACTAGAGCAGTAATGAAGTCCAGTTAACCCTGTGACAGATGATTGACTGTGTTTTGTTGTTGACATAGTGATTTTTTAAATTTGTTGCAGCTTTGTGGAGGAGTTGGTGTCATCCATCATAACTGTAAACCAGAGTTTCAAGCCAATGAAGTGCGCAAAGTTAAGGTGGGTACATATTTTAAATGTGGGGGGAAAAGTTTAATACTAATTTGATACAATTTTTTTTAAACCACACCGTTAATGCCCCACACACACATACGCACTATTGATGTTTGCTATCAGTTGTGGGAGCTTATGATGTATAATTGTGCATCTTCCCCTGGCAACTTTCTTATGGATGTGCGTCATGGACTCTTACTCACTGAAGACAAAATATGAGCTTTTAGACTGCTACAAAATAATTCTTAGAATCCCATGGGCCAAGTATAAGAGAAACTGTCATCTTACATTATCTGAACATGGAGGAGTATGCTGCCCCTAGAGCTGTAGCATTATGGCTATGTTAAACGTTATGGTGGCCTGGAGAGAACATTGATGTGGGTAGTTTCTGGAAAAAGAGGCAGAGGTAGACCTCCGCAAATGTGGGCATTCAAGGAGGATGAATAGTCTGTGATGGCACATGGCTGGAGAACTGGAAGAGAAACTTTCAGGCTTGTCGTAGCAAGAGCAATGTTCTATACAGATCCTGGTGATTGATGATGATGAATGTAGCACATGGCTAGCCCACTTGCCTGTCTGCCCAGTGGTCATCTGCTCGAATCTCATTTACGGTGGACATTTTGTCATGATTGGCCTGACCACCTGGTCAACTCAAACTAAAAGGAGTATCAGGAATTGTTTTGGAATGTAAAGGCAGCTTGATATTGAGACCACATCATCTATTTTGCCTGAGAGGCAAAAAACAAACAAGCATTCAAATCAGTCAGATTTGTAAAATGGATGCGCATGTGACCTTTAGTTTCTGGAACAGGACTGCAGTCCAAAAGTGGACGAACAACCAGAACTTTCCGATAACACCCAGGGAACGCGCAGAAAAAGAATTTATTTGCAGGACACTTGATGGTGATGAGGAAATATGTATATTTGTGTAACTGTGTGTATATTTACACACATAAATGCGTGTGTATGTACACGCATACATCCTTATGTATATATATGGTTATATAAGTATATATATATTCACATACACATTAGAACCTCTGTTGACCATATAATGGACTGAAACAAACCAGTCAAGTGATGTAGGTGGTAAACATACAGTCTTTCTGTCTGTGGTTTAGGTGCTGCTGATGCACTTCGTAATGCCTAGGTACAGGGTTCGATCCTAACTGCAGGTCATTCAGAAAGCAGTGGCAAACTGCTAAACATACAGTTTGCCTAGAAAAACTACAAATGCTAAATAAATGCTTAGGTTGATTATGCAACATTCTGTAAACGATACACAACTAACTTTTTTTTTTCAATATACAGAAAAAGTGGAGAACACTCTCTCAATGCTAGCTACACCATTCATCATACCTGGGCATTTTTCCACAGCTGACAGCTAATGACTTCAACTTCATTATCAGATGACTGACAGCTCCCTCTTTCAGAGACTGCAATTTCTCCATGATTTTTCTTCCTTCTTGAGCTTCACTGGCTGCTTTATGCACTGTGTGTACTTCAGTCAATATTACTTATCACATTTATTCTGAGCCTGGTTCATTACAAGTTGCTGTCTTACCATCGCTTGCAACAAATCGTTCAAAATCTTTTCCTTGGAATTCTGTCATTGGTAATGATCTATCCAATGGGTGCTAGCTCGTTATGCTATTAGGCTGTGACAGATCGAGCTGCTTGACTCATCCAAAGGGCAGAATCCAGAGCGTTAACTGATGCTGCAGATGAAGTTGCTTTCACCGATGGACTAAGATCTATGTTTTAGTAATGACCAGCTGCAAAAGTTAGGCCTCTTAGGGCATTTACAATTTTGTTTCTGTAGCCTTGGTCAAAAGTTTGAGATTGTGTTTGGTAGCAGAAATGTCCATGTCACATTGTTGAGATGATCCATGTGTAGGTGGCCAGGTCATTGGTCTGCTGTCAGTAGTATAGACCATTTCTACTTCTTGATTTCAAGTTTAAATTTCTCAAGCCAACCTCTTGATGCTTGGAGATCTTCTACCACCTCAAATTTCTGAGCGAATATTTTAACAACTTCTTGAATAATCAGACAGGAGATTTAAGCGTTAACTGTCCTTATTTGTTTCAACAAGATTAACATTGCTTGATTTTACTTCCTGTTTTTGTGTGTGTTTGGTGCCCTGCCTACTTTCCTGTTCTATCTTTCCAAGTACTCATTTTTACATTGTAGATGCTGCTAACTGTGGTCTTGCTAACCCCAAAATGTTCTGCTGTCTTTCATTGGCTAGTGCTGTCCAGAAAATATACAAGATCAGACTTTTTTTTTCTCTTGATGTCATAACTGTCAGTTTGTTTTTGTTAGGCCATTATGTCTAGATAAACTTGTGGTAAGAATATAAATATGTGGTAGTACTGTCTTTGAGCAACACTCCCAGACATGTAAACTGGACAAATTAATTCTGAAAACAACAAACTCTTTGCAGACTTGCACCATTGACTCACTGAGAGTCTTATCTTGGCACTTCATTTAGTTCTTTGAGATCAAAAGTACACATGACCATCAAGCTTCTTAACTAGTCGAGCTCAGGTGTGGAAAAATGTTTCTTGTGTGTCATAGTCCAAGTTGGGATCATATAACTTAGAAAGGTGGTCAGTATTTGGAAGTAGGCTTTCACTGAGAGTGTGATGACCATCCAGTGAGTGAAAATGAAGTCAGCATGTCAAGATGAACGGTGAACAAATACTCATGAATATGTTTGCTAACTACTTTATTATTGCCTGCAGAAATATGAACAAGGCTTTATCCTGGATCCTATCGTGATGTCCCCGGAGCACACAGTTGGCGATGTTGTTGCTGCCAAGAAGATGTATGGCTTTTCTGGCATCCCTATCACAGTTAATGGGCACATGGGGGAAAAGCTGGTGGGTCTCGTCACTCAGAGAGACATTGACTTCCTGTCTCACAACCAACACTCAACACGTTTAGCAGATGTAGGTACTTTGTTTTGTAGCAAATGTTTTATCTTATTTATGGAGCAATTTTTCCGTGTAGAAGTTTTCGCATAGTAGTAGTAATTTTCTATCTTCAGATTAATTGAGAATAAAGACTGACGTGGTTCGGCCACTTAGAAAGAATGAATCCAGTGATGCTAGCAGTAGAAACATACAACATGACAGTGGAAAGACCAAGATGCAGAGGGAAACCTAGAAGCAGATGGATCGAAGGATTCACTGACAGTCTAAGACTTCACAGCACAAGCAACAGAGCATGCCTTAGGCTGACTATCTATCATCTCTTATACTGTGGCACAGAGTAGGTATCTGCAAAAGAAAAGTAGCAGTAATGATTCACATAAACACTCTATTCATATCCTGCATGATAATCTTGAATATACTTTTATATAAGAATTCTAGCTTTTACGTACACAAAAACGAATGATATACAGATAAAGACATACACTACTGGTTATGTAAATATGTCATACCCAATGAAAACAATAAAGCAGAACCGAAACACAGACAGGATGGGAGGAATAAAGGCAGTGGGGGAAAGAAGGACCGACTGAAGCGGATGGTGGAGAGAAGGTCTGACTGAAAGGGTGTGGAGAGAAAGACTGGTTGAGAAATGGTGGAGAGAAGGACTGATTAAGAGATGGTGGAAAAGCTGAAAAAGAGGATGATGCAGAGAAAGTCTAACTGAGGGAGTGGGGACGGAAAGTCTGACTGAGAGGGATGATGGGGAGAAAGTCTCACTAACAGGGATGATGGAGAGGAAGTTTGATTGAAAGGGCTGGTGGAGGAAAGACTAACTGAGAGGTATGGTGGAGAGAAAGTCTGACTGAGGGATATTAGAGAGAAAGTCTGATTGAGAGGGATGGTAGAGAGACAATTCTTTCTTTTGTCAAAGTCTGCTTTTGCCGCTAGGCGTCACAGTTCTTGGTCTTTCCCTGCTTCTTAGTGTTTTGACTCTCAGGTTGTACACTCTTGCTGCTGGTATCATTGGTTTCATTCTCATTAGATGGCCAAACCATTTCATTCTTTGTTTCTTAATAAATTTGATGATGGGTGTTGTTCCAACAGTTTTTGTGATCACGTTGTTCCTCACTCAATCTCTTCTGGTTTAATTCACAGCCATTCTCAAACATCTCATCTCATAGGAGGCTGGTTTTCTTTTGTTTTTTTTGTCATGTGTCCAAGTTTGACATTGGTAACCTGAAGTCGGTAGTATATATAATGTATTTATTTGTCTTTTTGTGTCTATTGGGATAGCAGGGTGTTTGAAAATTTATCTATATGTATGTACACACACGCACATATATATATATATATATATATATATATATATATATATACACACACACACACCACATACATAGTTTGCTGAACACACTATTTTATATTCTCAATGTTGAAATTTTTGTAATGATATATAAATGTACATAGAAAATTTCTGCTGGAGACTAAATGCTGCTGTGTCTTGCAGGTGATGACTCCTGTTCAAGATATAGTTACAGCTGAAGCTAATGTGACATTGAAGGAAGCCAACCTTATTCTGCAGAAAAGCAAGAAAGGTATTTTCATTTTTTAAAATTCCCCACAGCTCTGGCATATTATTTTAAACAGTCTCCCTAACTTTGAAATATTTTACAGGTTCTCTCGGTGTGGGTTCAGGGCCCTCCATTTTTAAGGGGAAAAGGCTAGATCCACTTACCTCTTGCAAGTATGTTTTTGAAGCGACTTATTAGGGGTGTTTCTTTCAAAGTCAGAGTTCATCTGCCTGAGAGGCGGGAGACCAGCAGTCTTTAAACAATTAAGCCAGATGTGTAAAATGGACTATCATGCAAAATCAAGCTCTTGAACAAGACCAAAGCCCTGAAGTGGATGAACAACCAGAATTTTGCGCCGGAGTTTACAGCAAGTGAACACTAAGAAGTTGCATGGACTAGTATATTAGATGGTCAGGTTTTGGCCTTTTTTTTTGTGTGGCCCTCCTAGGACAGAAAAACGGACTATCTGCCTCTATCCATTTAGGCAAGTTTTTTTGGGGCATAGTTTGGTCTGTCTGGAAGTTTAAGGCAAAAATTGTATTACTGAAGTGGTACTCCGAAGGTACAGGCAGTACATGAGAGAGTGGTGGAATACATGTCTGAAGAAGGAAGTATGTCACATTTAATGTTATTCTTTCTGCTGACTAATCTGGGTTTTTTTTTCATTTGCCAGGTAAACTTCCCATCGTTAATGATAAGGGTGAACTGGTATCATTGATAGCCCGCACTGATATGAAGAAAAATAAGGAGTTTCCTCTGGCTTCAAAAGATGAAAAGTAAGTGACTGGGTTTGAAACATGGTATTGACAATGACAAGTATGCTTCCTACATTCCCACATTTTTTTAGAATAAGAAAGTAAAGTAGCTTTCTCTTTTACCTTTTATCCTCCGGTGTCTTCATTTCACTGACTGTCAACCCCAGCGGAAAGTCCTAGTTTCTTTTTTGGACTTAGTCTTGTTCCAGAACTTGAATGTTGCATGATCTGGCTTTTTGGTATGCAGACTGTTGGTTCCTTGCCTCTCAAGCAGACGCACACCTTAAGGAAACACCCCTAATTAGTTTACTTGTGTACGACATGTTTGCTAGAGGACATATTGTGCATTTGTTGACTAACTCAAACCTCCTAGACTCCAAAAAATGTCTTGCACTAATCAGCAGTATTTGAATTATTGTTCTGATTTTTTTTCAGTTCCATAGATTCTTTACATGTTGTTTGTTTTAAAGTGTAACTCTTGTCATATCCACTTATAAAAACTGTATGTGTGATATAAAGAGTAATTATAAATATCTTAATGCATGATCCATGTCACTGCACATTAGGCATGCACAGTATTTCAGTGCAGCAGCTTCTTTTGAGTTATATCTTATTTTTTGACCTCAAAGACATACTTTGCTATACTTTACTTAAGGTCACATAGGTTAACGTCGGAGGTCATCATTAGCCATTAGTTTCTTCTGTACACGATTAATATATTAGCTCCATCCATCTGAATGAATAAAAAAATTTTTTTTAATCTTTACATTTTACATGTCATGGTGTGGGAGTGCAGGTGATCATGTTCCCAAACTACAACCATATTCTATTTTCTTGGCAAGTTGAATCACTGAATACCTTCCAGGCTGTTATGCCAACTAATTCATACCCTCCCCCACCCCCACCTCCAGTATTGACTGTGTCTCTAATATCATAATTTTTGTCATTTGTTGCAAGTTCTCATGGTTAGCTCTTCTTACAGTGAAACAACAAGATTTCAGCTCAGATATAAACCTTAGATAAAGTTGTCTCAAGTGCGATGTTACAAGATTGGAAAATAGTTAAAAATAAGACCATAGGCTTGTGAAATAACAAAAACTACATATTTTTCTGCTGCATCACATTATGAACGTCAAGCAAGATACACAGCCAGTAAAAATATAAAAAATAAAGTGTGTTGTTTATTCTTACAGAAAACAGCTGATTGTAGGAGCAGCTGTTGGGACACATACTGATGATAGGGAACGCATAGAGCACTTGGCTCAGGCAGGAGTGGACTTTTTAGTTCTGGTAGGGTTTGATTATCTAATGTGTTAGTCCATTTAAATCTATCCGATGTTGATACTTAAATATCTGTTTTAGATGAAATAAGGTTTTACAAAAGAGGGTGATGTTAGCCTCACGCTTCAGCACCCACTCTGGAGCACCCAGATGGCTTTCTTTATCTGTTCCCTAACTGTTGACCTGTCTGACTTGGGAAGCCCTGCTGGTAACTGCACTACTGCTGGCATAGCTCTGAGGGTCATTGAGAAACACAGGCTCTCCCACCTTAGCGATATGAGACACCCCTGAAGGAAAGGCAGGTGATATCTGTAGCAGTGAACCTCAAAGGCTCAAAATGCTGAAGACAATATGTTAATATTTTTTGCATTAATGACTTCCTCTCTTTTATCTTGGGAAAGTAATCTTATTGCAGATGCCGCAGTTGGGATATAAAATGTTAGGACATTACATGTTCTAGGTCATGGCAGTTGGGTGGCCAGTCCCCTTAATCTCACCATTCCTTCTTAGACAGTTCTTACAGGTTATGGAAATTGTCTAGTGCCCATATTCATGAGGATGGATAAACCCTAGTGTCTAGAATGGATAAACCTAGAGCATCTAGTTTCCATAGTCATGAGGATGGATAAACCCTAGAGCATCTAGTGCCTATATTCGTGAGGCTAGATAAGCCTTATCAAGAAAAGATATAAAACCAAACGAATAGTATATAAGCAAGCTTTGCTGTATAACAAACAAAACATGAACGTTGTGGCTATGGAGCCTTCATCAGCACATACATAAATGAAACAATACCACACAAAATCACTTAACTTAGTATCTTGAAGCGGCCAGGTCGATGTCTTGTCAGTAGACTTATGTTGTGCGCAGGACTATAGAATAAATAGCCCCGGGGAATTCCAGGGGCCGTAAGTGGAGATTTTTAGATAAAAACTATGTGGGCAGTTCAATTCCCTAGGATTTTAGATTAAACTGTGTTGGCAGCTCAGTTCTCTAGGTGCCCAGAGTGAAAAATAAAGCGATTTTTGAGAGTCTTACAGACTCTGAGTTATGAGTTGTGATCTGGGTTATCTTCACAGCACTTCGGACACGTCCATAGGTGTTCAGATCCCCCCTCCAATAAATACATCAACCTCCCGGTTTTGATAGTCCCAGTCCTATGTTGGTTGACAAGACCTCCTGTGTCTTGTGTGCTTCTTGTGCCTGGCTGTGCCAGTCTTAACTCCCAATTCTTGCACTCTTAGCAAAGATGTGGATGTGTTGCTCCCAAAATCTTCCAAAGGTCTTGCCTCTTTAATGGCGTTAACAATGTCGGTATGATCCATGGGCTGGCCCTCTGTAACTAAAGCAGAACCGGCTGATCTGTCGGCTCTTTCATTGCCAACAACACCTGCATTCCCTTTGACATTTGCGGACTGTGTCGCTGGAGTGATTAAATTTGATGGCTGTCACCTCCACGTCGTGGACACCTTGGTGCTCCTGAGAATTTAATTGCAATGGTACTGGTTTCAAGGCACCGCTTTGCACATCCAAAAGATGTTGTCTGAACCAGTTAGACAGTCGTAGACCCGTTTCACCGAAATATTTCATGCCACATCTCTTGCAGTGGATGGCGTAAATAACATTGCGGCTCGTGCAGTAGAATGCTTTACATGTGAAAGGTGGCATTCGGAAATTCCAAACTTGTCCCCTGAACCACATATGGACAAGTCCTGCATACATGAGGTTGGATAAACCGTAGAGCATCTAGTTAGTGCCCATATTCATGAGGCTGGATAAGCTACAACAGCTAAAAGTAAATTCTGCCATTTCTGGAGATTCAGTTAGATTAGTGTCAAATAAAATCAGGCGAAATATATTGTCTCTGCCTGCATTAATTAAATTCACTGTGGATATTTGGAAAACAATCCTTTTGAAATAAAATTAAAATAGTGAGTTATTATTTTAATAACTGGGATATATATAAACTCCGCAGGATTCATCTCAAGGTAACTCAGTTTATCAGATCGACCTGATCCGATACATCAAACAGAACTATCCTCACATGCAGATTGTCGGAGGCAATGGTATGTTTACACATGCGTATCATTCTTTATATGTATTTAGATCTAAACAATGTACAGCTTGATGTCTGTAAAACTGTTTAGACTTTTCCTGCAGGTTGTGTTATTAGTTCTACCAGCAAGCAGTGAGTTCTCTCACCAGTACTCAAGCATCAGGTGGTTAACTGTATTTTTCTACATCAACTACATAAATCCTACTGGGCAGGGAAGTCATCAGCACGGTCTGCTGGTGAGAAGGAGCGAAGCATGTGGTTCATGATCTTGGCAAGTGGAATCACTGCAAGAGAGGTTTAGTGTATACAGGTGTAGATTTATGGCCTGACTAAGAATTGTAGAGGGAATTCGAAATAAGTGTCTAAGCCGCAGTACATGAGACAGAAGACTGGGCAGACATAATGACCAGCACCATTCGGCATGGACTTTAAGAAGACACATTTTCAAGCAGTACTGATAAATTATCTAGTTGTACTTATGTAGTGATAGATAATCCTGCTATAGATATTCTAGATGAAATACTAAAGTTATTGTAAATAAGAGGATTATCGCTTTACCAAAAGTGAATTTAGTTAAATTGCAATCATCTTTAGAATGACATTTCCTTGCTTAGACAATGTTAGTGTGCAAAAAAAAAATTTAGAGATAACCTAGAATAAAAGTATACAAACTGTACTTACAGTGGGTAGATACGGGTAAAATATTCCAGAATGCTATAATTTCATTTCTAACAAGGAACAACAGACAAACACTAAAACAAAAAAATTCATTGGAAGACACCATTACAAAAAAAATAGGACATGGCTAACAGAAGTAAAACCTATCTGAGATTTTCTGGAGCCTGGGAACCCAATATGGAGGCATCTGCTTCTGCTTTTTAGCTTCCCTCAGAACCTAGGTCTTCAACCAACTGATACCAAGCCCTTAGCAGACCTAGCCTGGCAGTATGCCAGTTTGCAGCTTCAGTTTTTATTTGATGAGATGGCTAGTCTCACACCAACCCTGTTTAGTAGCCTCTTAAGATATGCAGTCTAGGCTACAGTTTTGTTTTACTTTTTATTGTCTGTGTGAATCTGGTAACATGCTATATGTTTAGAAAATAAAAACAAGTGTGAACATTTTATTAGTCAATAGCAAATGGGAATATTCTTTTCTTTAATACAATATTTGTTGTCTGTTTGAATTCAGTTGCAACCATTTTCTGCATCAGCAACAGCTGCCTGTTATTTTTTGAGGTAGTTTTTATTTGTATGAAGTTACTTTTATGCATTTCATACTTTCTATCTTAGGAGTGTAAGTATTGATGGTAAGGACTATGTTGTTACCACAGAATTCTATTTTGTTTTATCAAGAAGTAAATTAACACTACAAAAAATTTAAAAGGAAGCTAAATATGGGAGAAAAAACAAGAGCTCAGATATGGTCTGAACATTTTGACCAAAGTCTTTATCAACAAATAATACAATAAGATTCATAAACCCAGCAAAAGAATGAAGTCACATAAGGCAATAAATAAAAATAAATAAAAAAGAAACTAGAACAGAAAGAGTGTGAAGCAGGACTTTTCACATACATTTGTTGTCATTCCTGTTTTAAAAAAAAATTGGTCAAAATGTTTGGTTGCGTTTGAGTTTTGTTTTTTTTTTTTCCTCGTTAAGCTGCTTGGTCACAATTTATGTTGTGGTAATTGACTTCTTGATATTGGCTTGACTGCAGTCACCCCTGTTTTAGACATATATTTTGAGTTAAAGTGATTGTAAGTGCATACAATTACTGGTTTCCAGTTTTACTCTTTCAGATTTTTCACCTGTTATCTTAATTCCTTTACTGATGAACAATTTCATTCACTGATTTATTTGTTGTTTTTGTTTTGATTAAATTTGTGTGGTTGACATGAGATTTTCTTTATTGTGTGGCTACATATTTTAAAGACTGTAAAGTGCTGATGTGTCGACATCTGTGTTTTAGGGATTGCAAACATGGTTTGTTATTTACAAGGTACCCAGTTTGACAGTGGTATCAACAGCCAGCTATTCAGAAGGAATGGCAAACTACTAAACAAAAAATGTCCTAATAAAACCACAAACAACTTGGGGTAGGTTTGCAACTTTTTGTTGCAAAGGATACACAATTGACTGCAGTCTGCCGATGACTGTCATTGTTTGTTCAAGCTATATATACAGTTGATGTATTTGTTACAAATTGAATGATATTGATAAAGATTTTATGTGGGAATGTCCTGAGTACAGTGGTATCAGTATTTGACTGCTTCATTGACTTCACTGGATAAAATCACCTGTCTTAGCCAGGTCACTTGGAATAAGGGACTTGGCCATATTCCCTGTGGGGGGTGGGGGGGGGAGCGTAGTCGATAGGAGACTAACTTTCAAATCCAGCCGCAACTCGCTGCAGCCCACGTCTGGTGTGCGAAATCGGACGGATTTCCGGGGTTCACCCAGCCGCTAGGTAATGGGTACCAGAGTTAACACTCTGGGGTAAATGGAGGAACGTCGCTGTAGCTACAGAGTTGCGTGCAGACGGTGACACAGGCAGACAGTTTCTTATCAGTTGTCCATACTGGTGGCAGAGCACTTATGGTTTATAACCGTGTGCCATGACACTGGTTCACATCTCCTGACTTTACCTTTACCTCAGTCACCTGCTACTGAATACTAATAAAGTAAAAATCTAAACTAAGGTGAAATCAATTAGAAACAGTAAGGATGGAATAGTCAAAGATTCAGACTGAGATTTGCATTTAACCAATTAGGTTTCTTTAGATGTTGGCATCCTTTTTCATAATTTATATATATGTTATTGTATTCACATTTGATTCAAGGGTACACATATTTCTAATCACTTGTACAGTATTTGTGCTTGAACAGTACCTGTTTTGATTTTCAGTCAAGAATTTGTTTTGAATAATGTTCACACAATTTTTGCAATGTTTAAAGAGTTATGATTCGAACATGAGTAAAAACCAGAGTCAGTAGATTGTATCTGAATAACACAAGTAATATTACAATAAGATCTTGTTAACACAGACTCACTTGAGAAGAACATTCTGTTAACATGACAAGAATTTGGTCCCAGCACGGATGTATTGAGTGCCCAGTTGGCACACATCTTTTTTTAACACAAACTCTTGATTTTTTTTTTAAGTCCCTTGGAATTTGTGTAAATGGTGGTTAACTGTTTTCCATCGTGGCTTTTAGATGGGATATATGGAACAAGTAAAGGACCCCTTTCTCAGCTTTGGCAGTTGGGTTTATAGTTCTAGACCTGTGTTTTTATCGACCACTCGGCTCTCGATGGTTGATGTGGTCAGCACTGCACCCGCTTTCTTCACTTCTCAAGATATTACCACCTAGTGTCCGTTTTCAGCTGGGTCCACATGGGAGCCAGGGTCAGTTTAAAAAAGAAAAAATCTGCCCGCCTGTGGCTCAATCAGTCAATCAGTCTATGACCTTTACAAAACAATGCCCTCTTCATGGCACGCCTGAAAGTCTTTCTCTAGCCAATTTTCCAGCCCTGTGAGCCCTCATAGCCAGTGCATCTTCACTGTCCTATATCCACATTCACGGAGGTCGGTCTCTGCCTCATTTTTCATAAACTGCACCGACCATTCCTCTCCAGACCTCTCCAGACCTCTCCAGACCACCATTGGCTTGACATGTCTAAAATACCTCAGCTTTTGGGAAATGATGCTGCTTATGAGCCAGTTCTCCTTGATGTTCAGGTCATGTCGACATATTTCTTCTTCTTGGTCCACAGTCTTTTACAATTTTGTCTGTAGCACTTTACTTCAGAAGCTCTGATTTTCTTCTTCACAGAATGAGAGTCCATGATTCACGTTCATAAATTGCCATGGAAAAGATGCGTGATCACAGAATTTGCAATTTAAATTGCATGCAGGTTCTTTGCCATAGTCGGGTAAATATCTGCCAGTATGGCAGTAGTCTAGGCTTCATCTTGCCGGGCATCATTCACATGATTTACCTTGTAGCAAAATTAATCAGTTTATTATTATTATCTTCCTTACCCCTTCTCAGTTACAATTGAGATATATGTATGTAATTAAATAGTTGTAACTCTTTCACACACTAGATATTTATGTTTGTCCAATACAATCTGTTTGAACAGTTGTGACTGCAGCCCAAGCCAAAAACCTTATTGATGCTGGAGTGGATGGTCTCAGAGTGGGTATGGGAAGTGGCTCCATCTGCATCACACAGGAAGGTAATTTCAGTGTAGTTCATGTCATGTTACATTTTTAGACTGATTATTGGTTTGTATTGCTTTGAATATCATCATCCCCTTTTTTTATACATCAGATTTCCGATCCAGCATGGCAGATAGACATCCCAACTTTCTTTTTTAGTCATGTCAGGTTATTTGCTTCTAGCTGTTGTTACCATTTTTTCCCCCTCATATGATGATAGAAATAACATAGTTATGCATTCTGTGGGTGTATATGCCAAGTCTGCAGCCTGCTTCATTATTGTTCACAAAGGGCAGTGACAGGCATTCTGTATGTTTTTCATTGGCACAAGAAGGGAGCCGCTAGGGAATGACAAGTTTGATGTAAAGTTAGAACTGCCATTACCTAATTGCTCACATGTCTATATTTTTCCAGTTCTATCCCGTACAATTGTTTCAATATCATAGATAGAATCCAGTCAGTACCTTTGGTCTCTGTCATCAACATTCATCTTAGGGTTTCTTTTGGATACCTCTGCTTTCTCAGTCCATTTTTTTCTCATTTCAGCAGCTGTTTGGTGATTCTATGTTCACTTCTTCTTAAGATGTGTGTATTATGTCACCATCTTTTTTGTCTTAAAAGTGTTAATACCAAGTGGATGACAAGACATTTCTCTTATTTCTTCACCTGTCTGGAATTAATCCTATTTAATGCTCATCAATTTCATAATGTATAGCTTTATAAATGTACCTTAACTTATTCTTAGGAAAGTCATATAGTGATTTTTCCCTCATAGGAAATTCTATTCTATAAATGTATTCAAGTTTGTGGCTTTTGTAGTGTTTTATAGCAAAAATGCTGGTGCATTTATGAATCAGAAATGTTAGTAAATTTATAACAGCAAAAATGCTTCTGCACTGTGATAGCAAAAAAATTGCAAAATGCTGATAGATTTATGATAGGAAACATGCTAATTGATTTATTATTACAAAAATCAATGCTTTCTTTTTAGCTGGCCACAAATGACATCACCGGAAAGTTCACTATCTTAGAGGGTGGTAACAATGGGTTTTCTGTGTTTTCAGTGCTTTAGCGATTTCTGCCAAGGTTTTTGCATGTTTATCTTACCAAAACTGTACGCCTTATCTACCACCCCCTGAAATATTTGACTGTCCCGTGACCTGTGGATTTCCACTGTTCATGGTCGGCTAATAAGAAAGTACCCAAACATCTTGTACACTTAATACATTAGAAAGCAAAATATTTATAGCTTTATGATAGCAAAAGTGCCTGTACGTTTACGTTTAGTAAAGTAAAATGCTTGTACATTTAGGAAAAGAAATTCTCGAAATTGTTTAGAAAAAAATGCTTGTACATTTATAATAACAAAATACTTATGCATTTATGGGAACAAAAATGATTGTCAATTCATGGTAATATGTGTATTATTTGATACTGCTGTTTCACAGTAATGGCTGTGGGGCGACCTCAGGGAACAGCAGTATATAAAGTTGCTGAGTATGCCCGCAGATTTGGTGTACCTGTGATTGCTGATGGTGGCATCTCATCTGTGGGACATGTAATCAAGGCTTTAGCTTTAGGAGCTTCCACAGGTTTGTACACAGTATTAGTGTTCCATTAGAGAGAGAGAGAGAGAGAGAGGAGGACTGGATGACTTTGCAGCATCCACATTGCTGCTAAGAATGAGAGATTTGAGAGTAAAGATCATCACAGCCAGGCACACACACAAACACACCAGACATTTGAGAGGCTGGGTGAGCCAGAATAGGACTGGTACTCTTAGCTGTAGTGACATGATACGCACCTGTGAACAGTATCCTGAGAGCTGTGAAAGTAACAACTCATCCTGAATGTAGATTATTTCTTATTCTGTTTATCTCTCACTGGAGCATAGACCCTCAACCAACTTATACCGGGTCATAAAATTCTTTGCCATCACATGAAGTTTACCCTAAGTCCTCCCTGTCCTGTCTCTGATACCTGTCTCTTTGGTTTTGTTTTGTCATCCCCTTATATACCCTCTTCCTAAACAAAAATAAATCTGGATATTGCACATAGGTTTGTTTGACACCCCTTTTTTAAAGAAGAAATGAAACTAAATAGTTGCTGATTCTTAGAGCTACTTGATGCCAAAAGTATGTTCTCTTTTCTCAGATTCTTTCCACATTGATCCCAGTGCTAAGAAATTCCATTTATACAGTTTTCGGTTTTCTCATTGTCATTTTTAAATTGGATGATGTCAAAGTGTCCAATTAAAACTGATTTATGTTGGATGTTCCACTTTTATTTTTGTTACGTGGACCAGGCGTAAATAAATGTATGAATGTGATTCACTTACTGACTTAGAACAGCAGACTACAGATAACTATGATTATGATGGCAATAATATTACTTGTGTATGGTCAGCTTATCATAACTGACTACTTCCATTAATGAGAAGCTGCAATTCTGGTGGCAACTGTTGGTGCTGACATTTCTAGCAGCTGTCTTATGCATTAACTGCATGTGCGTGTTCCTGGAGTTTGCTTGCACCAATTGTTTATTCACTAGTTTTTAAATGAGATGGTGGGGGTGTTTTGTGTGATTTTCACTGGTGCATTATTAAAGTTATTATACAGTGACTCATTGCAGTGTAGTTGAAACCTTGATTATTACTACATAAATAGAAATAAATGTTTGATTCTGGGTCTGCACACAGAACATTGCAATCTTAACAAAGATTTGTGTAAATTAGATATGAGCTTACATGGATCTGCTTATGCACAGGAGATTGCAGTCTCAACAAAGATTCATATAAATTAGATATGAGCCACATGCACAGGAGATTTGCAGTCTCTCAAAGATGAGCCCACAGGATCTGCTTATGCACAGGAGATTGCAGTCTCAACAAAGATTCATATAAATTAGATATGAGCCCACATGGATCTGCTTATGCACAGGAGATTGCAGTCTCAACAAAGATTCATATAAATTAGATATGAGCCCACATGGTTCTGCTTAAGGACAGGAGATTGCAGTCTCAACAAAGATTCGTATAAATTAGATATGAGCCAGACAGATTTATGTCAGTGTCTTCATTCTGAACAGACTCCAGAATGTGTCCAGCAGAACTGTCCTGCTCTGGAGGATCTGTGAAATAACATGTGGCCATATCCTGTAGACCTGACAACTAAGCTTTGGGGAAATCTAGGAGACCTCAAAATTGGATCGAGTTTATGGCCCACAGTGGATTAAGTGCATGACCAGAGATCGCTGAAGAAGAAGAGCATGGGTCTCCTGAATGAGGGCCTAAAGTTGTGAACTGCCGGGACAGCTGCTCTACAACTTGTCTGACTGGCTCTCTATTAACAAACCATGTGCCTCTGTTTCAGTGATGATGGGATCCATGCTGGCAGGTACATCAGAAGCACCGGGAGAGTATTTCTTCGCTGATGGTGTGCGGCTGAAGAAGTATAGAGGCATGGGCTCCCTGGATGCAATGGAGCAGCATAAAGCTTCCCAGAGTCGATACTTCAGGTATGCTTCTTGTGATTAGTGATTAGAAAGGATTATCATCACAGCACTCCAGACAGATCCATAGGTGCTCCGATCTCCTCCTCAAAAGCTCCACAAGTGTGGAATGATAACGCCAGTTCTGTGTTGGTTAATGAAATGTCTTGTCCCCTTAGTGAAATGTTCTTTTCTTGCAGCTCCAGGCTGCACCCCCATGTCCATCAGTTTAGACAGGGATATGAAGACATTGATATAACATCACTTCTGTCCAGTACTGGGCCAGCCATAGCAACTGCAGTGTCAGCAAGATAGTCTGCCCACTCGTTCCTTTGAACACCCGCATGACCTGGCACAAAGCTAAAGGTTAGGGCAGATATTTGTAAAGTGCTTAGTGTTTCAATCCATTCTTGTCTGATAAATCCAGCTTGGATTTTCTTAAGCATACGATTGCATACGTATCTGAACTTTTGAGTACCAAGCCATGCTAAAGCCCTTGTTACAGTCATAGTTTCCATTGTAAGGCTACTAGTTGTAACAGCAAAGGCGCCATTCATCTCCTTGATGGTTTTCCCCCCTTGAGCTTACTGTGAAGGCCCGTGCACTAATTACTGACCCATCTGTGTAAACTATAGCATCACTTTCATCTGTGTTTTTTATGCTTCCTGTGTGATAGACAGATGTCATAAAAACAGCTGTATTATTGTTTCACAGTAGCTTAGTGACCAGACACCCACCTATCAGTTCAAAGGTCTCGGTGTTTACACATTGAGGTGGGTCTTTTTCCAAATTGACCATAGCCTACACATTCACATACTGTTTTGTCTAGTTTTTAATGATTGAACAATCTTTAAAATATTCAGGGAAGGTTACTCTAACATTTTTACCTTGTTTACAAGTCTTTGTACATTTAGGCACAAAATTGTCAAAGTCTTTGCTGGAGTCATTTTCAGGCAATGAATTTTCCGATTTAGTCTTTGACTGACCATGTTCAAGGCACAAGTACAGGCTGCCAAATGCATTTTTCTGCAGCTGAAGTCCCAAAATTGTTTCAGGCAGATGTCAGATTCTGATTATCATAATGAAAACCTAAATTTCACATAAAGTGATTCAGACGATGAATTTACACCAACAACAGCTGAGCAGTCAGCTCTTAGAGAATCTAGCAGTTCGGATGAGACTGAAGCAGAGAATGTTCCATTGTTACCTAGGGACTCTGGCTGACCTAGGGACTGGCTGACCTAGGGACTCTGGCTGACAAACCCAGACATTTATCAAACCTTTTGAATTTGTTAGACGGTTGAACAAACTTTAACACATTGTTCTCAAATTTGGATATTCACTGCTCTTGTGGCCGCAAAACCTTGGTAAATGTAGAATGTTTTTGGCAAAATGTTGTCCTTGTAAACATAACACCTGCTGAATTCTTTTTTATGCTAACTATAACAGCATTAAACATTGTTGATACATCTAAATTATAAATGTACATTTATTCCTATTTAAAAAAAAAACAACTGTACATTTTAAGGGATTAGAAATATATGACATTTTCAATTGCCTTTATTTTTCACCACCTCCTCTGCCATTTTTGTAAAGGGAATTTAATGCGAGCCAAGTCTGTCAAAATTCATTGTCCTGAAAGAGTTAATGGCTAGTATGCTAACCTGATGGATTTGTGTTCTAATCCTTTTTGAGGTTTTTTTTTTCTTAGCTTATTTTCTAGGGCAAAATCAGACTCCTAACTTGGGCCCAGAAAATGTTATTGGAAGTTGAATTGGCATTCCCAGGTTCAACAACTGATATGGAAAAACAGACATAATAAAAGTCAAGTCTATCAGACAGTGAACAAAGCTTCATTGATTCCAGTCATAGTTTAGAAATATTTCCTGAGAAGTAAAAGTTGTCTGCATAATGTTGGCCACATTGCCTGCAAATTACTACATGTTCTCTAAAATTATGGATTCAGCGTTTTAGATCCGATGGTCAAACTGCATCAAAAGAGTTCTTTACTTAAAGCTGTTTGCCATTCTAAACTATTTAGTGTTGCATAAAATGTAGAGATTGCATTTTATTCTGTTGCAATAGTGAGAGCGAGAAGATCAAAGTGGCTCAGGGAGTCTCTGGCTCAATTGTTGACAAGGGTTCCATCCACAAGTTCATGCCTTATCTCATAGCTGGCATTCAACATGGCTGTCAAGATATCGGGGCCAAGAGCTTATCTATACTCAGGTAACTGATCATTTGGTGTCTATTCTGTGATTCAGCTGTTCATTTATTGTTCATTCTTTGTATTAGCTGCTCATTTGTTGTTGTTCATTCATTATTTAAGTTGTTCATTTCTGGTCCATTCTTCCTTTTAGCTGTAATTTGTTTATTCCTTATTATAACTGTTCATGTGTTGTCATTTATTCTGTCAAGACATGAGTAAATAAGCAGACTGAACTGCATTGATCTGTATCTCTCTCTTTTCTCTCTCTCTCTTTTCTCTCTCTCCCCACTCACACACACACTCAGACTAGCTAGTAAGAAACTCTCTCTCTCTTTTCTCTCTCCCCCCCCCCACTCACACTCAGACTAGCTAGTAAGAAACTCTCTCTCTCTCTCTTTTCTCTCTCTCCCCACTCACACACACACTCAGACTAGCTAGTAAGAAACTCTCTCTCTCTCTCTTTTCTCTCTCTCCCCACTCACACACACACTCAGACTAGCTAGTAAGAAACTCTCTCTCTCTCTCTTTAAAAAAGACTATCTAATAACAAACATGTTTTTCTCCCTCTCCCTGCAGTACAGCTGTGAAAATGTTCAACAGATTGGAAAAAACATAAAAGTGTAGGCCAGCCATATATCAATAAACAAAAAATGTTGTGGCAATCATTTATAGCAAACAAACCAAAAACAGCAACATAGTTTCTTGCTTTGTTTCAGATCCATGATGTATGGTGGAGAACTGAAGTTTGAAAGGAGAACAACTTCTGCTCAAATTGAAGGAGGCGTTCATGGTCTTCATTCGTAAGTTATTTTTAGTTATTTGTTTTAGATTTTTAAAAATTGGTTTTACAAATAATTTATTTTCTTTTCTAATCAACTGCACATAAAAGAGTTATTTATATTCCAAGTATTTAATCTATCAAATTATACTCAATCCAGCCATTCAATAATGAGACTGATTTTATTATGACTAAAACAAAAACGCCACCCTTGAAGCAAAGTTTGCCATACAAACAGGCAACATGATTCTGGCCAAATTGCAGCACGGCCTGGTCAGCAGGTGACAAATAACCAGCCATTGTGTTCAGCTATGGAAAAAAGGTTTGTTACGTATGCAACATAGCAAAGGGCAACCTTTATATTCTGTTTTAAACTTGGGAAAAGTGCAGTAAAGACAGTTGATTTGATCAGATAAGTTTATGGTTATCTATATACATTAGGAGAAAAGAAATCTAGGCAGTGTTATGACAACTGGGATAAGTGAAGTTGTTAGAGACGTTAAGAGAGTTCTAGGCAGTGCTATGACAGCTGAGACGAGTGAAGTTGTTAGAGACGTAATGAGAATTCTAGGCAGTGCTATGACAGCTGAGACGAGTGAAGTTGTTAGAGACGTTAAGAGAATTCTAGGCAGTGTTATGACAACTGGGATGAGTGAAGTTGTTAGAGACGTTAAGAGAATTCTAGGCAACTGTTTTGACACCTGGGACCAGTGAAGGTGTTAGACACAAATGAAGAAAATGCTGGGTAAGCTTGCAGAATTATGTAGCAACTTTCCTCCAAAATGTCCTGCTGTGAAACACAATGCAACTCCATAAGCTCTTCGATGGTCAGCTCTTGGTAACCGCTTTCCCCGCCTTGTCGATCATCTTGAGGCAGGCAACGATGTGGAAGTGATTTTTCCAAAACTCTTTGAGAGTGAGGTTGGTTCCATCAGTCACCTGAAAAAAATGCTCGAAGAGAACCTTAGTGTAGAGCTTTTTAAAGTTAGAAATAACTTGCTGGTCCATTGGCTGCAGTAACGGAGTGGTGTTGGGAGGCAGAAACTGGATCTTGATTAACTTAAATTTATCAGTTAGGCCATCTTATAGGCCTGGAGAATTCATGTACATATATCGCAATATAACACAAGTTTGAGAAAATGTGTGATCACAAGCGACACTATGATGTTACTGGAACGAGTGCTAAACACAGAATGATGTAACATGCACAAAATCCGGGACTTCTCCTCTCCTAGCTACTTGTTATGCGAAACGTCACTCGTTAAGCAAGTCATTCTTTTAAAATTAGTTTTGCTCATTATGCAAATTACTCGTTATGAGAGGTTCTCGTTAAGCGAGGTTCTACTGTATATTATTTTTAAATTTAGTTTTTTATATACTTTTAATTTTATATCACAAAAATCTTTAAATCATACTCACTCAAACTTCTTCTTCAGCATTCTGACCCTTTGAGGTTCATTGCTGCAGATATCACCCACCTCCATCATTTCTCTGGTTGGCCTTTTCTTTCCATTTGGTGACACCAAGTGTTTTCGGGTCTTTCTGGATATTATCTCTCCAATGTCTTCTTGATCTGCCTTGTGGTCTACGACTATTCATCTCCCTTGTATATAGTTTTAACTTCTGTCATCTGACATTCTTTCAATATGCCCCAACCACTTCAGTCTATTAGCTCTCATGATGCCAGTGATCAAAGGTGATTTAAACAGATTATGAATTTCAGTTGTTGTTTCTCTCTCTTTTTATATTTATATTTCTTGCTACAACCTTTAAATTGATTAAAATAGACAACTCCTATCTACCGGCCACTACGGGTGACGTGATCCTCATCCACTTTGTGTCATCAAGTGTTTATCGATTGTGTGATGTCCTGATGGGGTAAAAGAAGACTGAGCCACTGTCATGGCTGGCAAGTGCACTGACCACAAGGCCGACACAGCTCTGACTAAAAAGACCTTTTTTTGACACTCTCTGGTGTATTGGGCAGATAATGCTAGGTACATATTTTATAGATCAATCGACACTTGTCGAGTGATGTGATCAACATATACTGGGCAGACCCGGGAACCAAGATCAGTCGGCCTGCCACAGGGATTGCAGAAGCAGAAGTTCAAGCCTTGATTTCCGAGAACGCTCTAGAGGCTAATGTAATTCCAGCGTACCGTGATCGAAACCCACTGCTGGCTGCATGGATTTGTTTCATGCTATTGGGTGTTGCAGGTCAACCCAGCCTAAAATGGGTACCAGGATGTACGTCCTGGGGAAATAAAGACAGCCGGCATAATGCTGACCACATTACCCACCTAGTGCCGATTAGTCTGTAAAAATATAGGTGCTCTTCCAATATGCCTGATGCGCCTAAAGCGTGAAAAGAGATCTTTATGACTTCATTTCGAGTTAAACCCAATACCTTTAGATCAGCAGGAAGCATATAACCACTACACCCTGGTAGCTACCACAGTTCTGACTACAATGGCAATAACAAATTTTGATACTAACTGTAATCTTCTCAGTTGTGCTACAGAAAGTATGATGGTACTTTGTTTTGGTCACCGCTTAACTATCAAAGCAAAGACAGGATGGACGTATCACACTAAAGTTGGCAGCATTGGTATTTAAACTCTTCACTATCTGCTGAAAATAGGAATGATGTGTTTATGGGAATATCAGAAGTGCTGTTATGTAAATTCTTATTTACTCAGCTAGGCTCAGTTTCGGTTCCAGGTATCTGAATAGGGAAAGGGATATTTCACGACTTTGAATATCTTTTTTTCTTGTTCAACATTTATGTGAGGACTTAAAAACACTTTGCCCATTTACAGCATGGCTGTGACATTTGCTGTTTGCTGCTTTCAACACAGTGACTTCTTCAGGCATTTGTTGCCCAGGTTAGCCTTCAAAGATTGTTGTAATTTTATTTTTTGAGATTGACAATGTACCTATGTTTGTTTTCTTCACAGATATGAGAAAAGACTTTACTGATGGTCATTCCAGTTCTAGCATGAGGAAGTTTTACAGTAGAGTGATATGTGGCCTGTTCACCATCATTGGCTGAAGCACAAAACTTATAGTGTAAATTGTCTACAAATAGTTAACAGTTGATAAATCCAAATGTTGTTACATGCAGATGTTCCATGGTTGTTAGAGGAATCCATAATTGTACATGTCTTTGTTCTCTGTCAGTATGTTGTAGCCAGTCTTGTATCCATTTCTACTTTGATGAGTCATTTGGATTTTACCCATTTGTTGCCAAATGTCATTTTGGTTGTAATTTTATATACTTTTCTGGGATTCAATTAGTATGTTGTTAATGATTTTATACATTTTTATGAGATTTGATTATGTTGTTCATAATATTATATACTTTTATGGGATTTGATTATGTTGCTCATATTTTTATTTACTTTTATGGGATTCAATTAGTATGTTTATAATTTTAAATATTTTTATGAGATCAGATAACATGTCAATTATTTTATACACATTAAGGTAATTCAGTCACAATGCTATCCATATTATTTGTATATTCCTATGGGATTCAAATAGTGAATAGTCCAATTAACTGAATGCATTGGAAGGATTGGTATCAGTGCACTCTGGACATTCCCACACATGTTCCGTCTCCATTCTCCGCAGCCAAAAAGAGTTGACATGCTAATTTTATCAGCTGCAGCCTGATTACAAATCTGCCCATGATTCCTCCTCAATGCGGTGTATCTTTCAGAACCTCTGCTTACCCCCTGTTGACATAGTCTTTCAGTGTGTGGATTCTCAGTTCATTTGATTCCAAAGAGCCTTCACCACGTCTACTTTGTGATAAAGTAGCTCACCACCAGAGGAGCAGCAGCAGCAGCAGCAGTCATTCTGCCAGCCTGCTCATTACCCCATATATCTGCATATCCTTGACAGTAAATCCATGCTATGCTACTTTATCAGTGTGAAGCAACTCATGATGTATGTCTAGAGTGTCCCCACCTATCTTAGTTTAAAGAGAAAAAAACCATTTAACCTGATATGTGCACTAGCATCTTGTGCTAGACCCATTGTTTTCTGGAGCATTCAGCATTGAGTGGATGATGTGGTCATCATGCCAGCTGCTGCCTTAACTGAATTTTTCTTTGCACCTAGTTTAGGCTAGGGAACCACCGTGGTGTAGTGGCTAGATGCTCGCCTGTGGATCCAAAGGTCATGGGTTCAAATCTGAACAGATCCGGGAGGGGGCTCGGCTCCCAGGTGAACCCAGCCATAAATGGGTAGCAGGTGAAGTACTGGGAAGTAAACACAGCCGGCGTGATATTGACCACATCATTTACCGAGTGCTGATTGGTCTATAAAATATAGGTCTAGCCCTATATGCCCAGTAACCCGAAAGCAGGGTAAAAGGGTCCTTGACTTCGCTTGACTTTACTGTTTTAGGCTCTGTTGACCTCTGATTGCTAAGTCAATGGTAAAAATCTGCTTTGATGCAGATTCAACTTTAGACGTATGGGCCTGCAGTACCATGGCTTCCTTATGATTTGCACTCAGGATTTTGATTTTGGGCCAGAACAGTGGAATTGACATTAGGGAAACTAAAATGAGAAACGAGCAGTAGTGATAGAATCTTGATTCATTAATTCTCACTTCTGAATCTGTGAAAAAACAATAACACAGTGACAATATCATTAGTTGTCATTTCTGAAACCAGTGATAGTAGAATCTGGAATCGGCGGTCACTTTTTAATTTACTTGAGAAACAAGTTGGGATAGATGTGGAATCCTTAGTAGCTGAATTGACACAGCTGGACTGTGAGATCTGCACATTTCAGCCCAACACATGTGATTTTACCAGATTAGTTCTTAAATCACTTAATCTATTCTTTTTTTTCTTTCTAAGATCCACTTTTGTCCAAGTTTAATTCTTTTGCCTCACGTTGGGGAGGGGGGCAGTTGATGCCCTTACCACAACAGATGTTAATACATATCTTATCATTTGTCAATATTATATTTGTGGGTTGTTTTGAATGTAATTTGATTTTGCCTGTTTACAGCAGAGCTACGATATTCGGACAGACATCCAAATTCTTCTACCATTTGTTGACAGGGTTTGACTCCCAAGTTTATATAAATAAAATGTTATTCTCTTGAAGTTTCATGGACATTTCACTTTTTTTAGTCAGCCAAGTATTTTAGCACAATGAACATCTGGTAAAATACTAATGAACTTTGTAGAGAGGAATAATTCTGCAGATGTTATTGTTATTTCCCTGTTATTATCAGATGAAATTGTTACTTTGGGAAAAAATTTAATTATCTTGTTGCAGTTTGTATATTGTTCTCTTGCCATTTGTTGAATCACAATTTTCCGAATACTTACGAGGCATCGTAAAAGAAACCCATTTCATTGGCTTTGTTACAAACATGAAAGATGTCATAGCAGTTGTGGCAAAATTAAACAAAGCAACTAGATGCAGATTAACATCAGCAACGTTGAGCTGGCAAGCATGACACTTGTCATGACATTCCAGAAAATGACTTCATAGAACTTTTTTTTTTCAGAATCAGTTTTTTTTAGACACAGTTATTAATTGCTACTTTCATATTTCTTGGTACTGTTTGTGCACGTTTACTATTACATGTTCGTTGCTTGTGAAATAGATTGTTTCATTAGCTCCATTTCAGAGAAAGTTCAGTTTTGTCCTTTTGAATTGCCCAGTTTTGGATCTCAGTAACTAAGTACCTATTTTGTTTTTTCCATTTCACATGTAATACATTCTTGTATATTGACATGTTCTGTTTACTGTTGAATTTGTAAAAATTGTTGTTATTCTGTTCTGTTATTTGAGTCTTTTCGAAAAAGTTAACAGCGTGGGTTCATTGTGTAAGTCAAGTCTGAACATCTTATGCAGAGTTTAAGCCTCCTGAAAATGTACTAATTGTAGAACAGTTTATTCGATGTCATACATATTCAATAGTTATCATTTTAGAGAGGCAGAAACTACACACATACTCAAATATATATATATGTGTGTGTGTGTATACACAAGGTAGCTTCATATCTTGGACAAAGAAGAGGAGAAATATTGACATCTTAAAAGATCTGAACATCAAGGAAGACTGGCTAATAAACAGCATCCTTTCTCGGAAGCTGAAATATTTTGGTCATATCCAGCGCCACAACGGATTGGAAAAAACTATAGCAGAAGGTATGGTACCGGGAAGGAGGGGCAGGGGCCGACCGACACGAAAATGGGCACAGGATATAAGTGACTCCTTGAGTATGAAAGTACATGAGGCAGGAGAACTGGCAAGACACTGAGTTTCTTTCAGGCAGGCTGTGATGAGAGCGACGTTCTGCAAAGGGCCTGCTACATGATGAGCTTCATTAAGTTTCCTGAATTTGTTCATTGTCTAGAAATAAGTAACTGCAATTATATGCACTGAATTTCCTTTTAAAAGTTGCACCCAGCAACTACATGCTTTTGGCAACCTTCATACAGTTGTTTTGGAACATTCCTGGAACCCATTCTTTGACACCTTTTAGCTGCTTTGTTGCATTGGTGATAACATCCTCAGCTTCCTTGAATCCCTGACCTTTCAGTGATAATTTTAGGAAAGGGACAAGAAAAATATTAGCTGGTGCCAGGTTGGAAGAATACTTCCTACTCATATTCCATCTTGTGAGGCTATTTTCTTGACACCAAGTCTTTGTCAGCATGAACAGTTTTTTAAACATGCCCAGTGTTTTTCGTTGTTTACAGTGGTAGGTGGTGGTCCTCTACGCTTATCATCAGCACTAACACAACCTTCAGCAAAACACTTGCGCCACAAACACGATTTCGATATCACTATATGCCTAATTAAGCAAACTTACTTTCTTTGAAGGTCTCTTCTCAACCAGTACAGAAAATTTGACATTTATGGGTTGCTTGGTCAAGGGCATTTTTTATTCGACGGTGCTTGCTACGTGCACAAGTTACAAACATACTGTTGAGAATAAATATGAAGTCTGCCAGCTCGTTTCATAAGGTCACCATACACTTTTAAAACCCTAATTATTCTGTCATAATTACTAATTCAAAGATGAACTGAATATTCCATAAACTTTTTAAAGCGACCTCAAAAAAAAAGAATAAATATATATATATATATATAAATAAAGTGTGTGCACACATTTACATTCAATTGTGACAGATGACATTTCCCTATATTCAGAACCTGGATAGCTTGTCAATTGTGAGATCTGTATTTACACATGAACCAAGTGATTTAAGTGAATGTTTCGTCAGTCAGTAGTGGTGTGAGAGAATATGTGGGCAGTTAGTAGTGGTGTAAGAGAAAATGTGTGGGCAGTTAGTGGTGATGTGAGAGAATATGTGGGCAGTCAGTAGTGATGTGAGAGAATATGTGAGCAGTCAGTAGTGGTGTGAGAGAGTGTGTGGGCAGTCAGTAGTGGTGTGAGAGAATGTGTGGGCAGTCAGTGGTGGTGTGAGAGAATATGTGAGCAGTCAGTAGTGGTGTGAGAGAGTGTGTGGGCAGTCAGTAGTGGTGTGAGAGAGTGTGTGGGCAGTCAGTAGTGGTGTGAGAGAGTGTGTGAGCAGTCAGTAGTGGTGTGAGAGAGTGTGTGGGCAGTCAGTAGTGATGTGAGAGAATATGTGAGCAGTCAGTAGTAGTGTGAGAGAGTGTGTGGGCAGTCAGTAGTAGTGTGAGAGAGTGTGTGGGCAGTCAGTAGTGGTGTGAGAGAATGTGTGGGCAGTCAGTAGTAGTGTGAGAGAATGTGTGGGCAGTCAGTAGTGGTGTAAGAGAATGTGTGGGCAGTCAGTAGTGGTGTGAGAGAATGTGTGGGCAGTCAGTAGTGGTGTGAGAGAATATGTGGGCAGTCAGTAGTGGTGTGAGAGAATGTGTGGGCAGTCAGTAGTGGTGTGAGAGAATGTGTGGGCAGTTAGTGGTGATGTGAGAAAATGTGTGGAAAGTTAGTGGTCTTCTTCTTCTTCTTCGATCCT